CCCCGTCGTTTGGGTTTGGGGCTCCTCCTACGAGTGGTGGCGCCCCCGTGCCCCCAGCCTCTGCTTCACCCTTTGCTTCGAACGTGACTCCTTTGGGGTCATTTAGGGGCGGTGCGGAGAATAACGCCCTCGGCACTGCCTCTCCGTTTTCATTTGGAAGCAACCCCAGCGCCGGTGCCGGGGCTCCATCGACGTTCAGATCCACTGCGGTGACGAGGACCACCTTCGGCGCGCCGGCTTCAAATGCGACCGGGAATGGGATAAGCGGTAGCTTTGCACCGGCGGCTTCTGCGACGATGGTGCCGTCCTTCGCCACAGCTATCAACAGCACCATTCCCTTTGGTAGCGGTGCCGGTGCTTCTTCAGGGTTGGATGGTGGCGCTAACGGGTCTCAAATCCTAGGAACAAAGAAACGTCGTGCAACAAATAGGCGGTACTGATGTACTTCATAGAAACATTGCGAACCCCAAAAGAATTTGTATGCGAAAATATTTTAGCAACCTTGGGGCATATATTTATATAATATGGGATCGTATAACGTAAGTGAAGCGGAAGGGGGTGAGTTTCTTTAATGCAAATACGCTTAAACGATTAAACGAAAGCAATACTCCCATTAGCTTGTACTACTGCATAGTTTCGTAGCGACTTTCTTAATGCTTATTATGAGGTTGTATCATACAGATTGATTTCCGAGATAGAGAGAGCAAATGGGTTGAGTTTGTGATGTTGAGTATGCATATTCAGAGTAAACTAATTTCGTTGATAGATGTTATCATTACTGATTCATTTTTTATTTTGATTAAGTATTTGTTTTTGACAATCGAAGAATCATTGCGGAGGCACGATGATGTCTCGATGGGCGTGGGTATATATACACGTTTTCCTTCTTCGAATGAAGTATCCTAGTCATCTCTTTCGCTCTAGACAGAACAATTGTAGCAACTCCACGCGTTACATTTTTCAATTCTATGCTCCACGCGTTAATATATTAAAGCAATCTAAAGAATTTACACACAATGATAGTGTTAATATTCGTGCGGGACCAAAGATAAGCAAAAGTGAGATCTTTGTCTAGTTTCTCGGAAAGGTTGACACTACAATGGAGGTAGTGAAGAAGTGATTTCAGAGCTACACTGGTATCCTTTTTGGCATCATGGCAGAGTCTCTTAGCATGGGTCGTAGCACGTCTGTGCACGTGTGGATTTGCCCAGAAGGTAAGCTTTACCTCAGCTTTTGTGTTCTACAGAACGAACCAAAATACCTAAGTAACGATTTAATAACGGTGTTACTTTTGATTTGCAGTAACACTTGCCCAAAGGAGATCTTGAAGCCGTTGCCAGGCTTCCTGCCGGATTGCATCGGGGTTAGGTGGCCTAGCGCCATCATTTACGACTATGAAAAGCTCAGTGGGGAGCTGAGCGAGAGCTCAGGAGATTACTACGTCATTGAGATCAGCATCAATGTTGAGGTAAATCCAATAGGGACAGACTCGCGCGGCGAGGCAACTTCCTTGAAGCGTTTGGCTAAAAATTTAAGTGCCAACAAGACCACTCCACAGGAGTTTTTGAAATTAACCTGGGCGTGTCTGTTCAAGATCTTCACAGATTAGTCGATGTTATGCAAAAAGGTGATGTGGGAGTTCGACCTAATCATGAATCGAAGCCTGGGATTTCATAGACACATGCCCAACATGGAGGAACTGGAAGCGGTGCCTCTCAATGAATAGGACTATTGCGAAGTCCAACATGCTGATAAGCTTAAAGAAAACCTCAGCGCTGATTACCTATATTAATTGTCTAGGTTGCAAATAAAGGAATAATACGAATAAAACTGTCATATGTCTGCTTGAAGGCCTATAAAGTATTACCAAACACGTGGGAGGAGTGAAAAGCACCTTTGTACGGCTATTAATGCGTCCGACTTGCACGCGTTAAAAAGAGAAAAAAATGGATCCTTTTTTTTAGGAAGAATCGAGTAAAAATTATGCATATTTCTACCTAGGAGCATCAATATATGCTTGTTCGTATGTTATTTTTTCCATCAGAAAATAATTTGTCGACTCACAGAATTCTTTCTACATATAAGAACTCAACACTCCTGGCATTATCCATTGTGATCCCTTGGATGGGTAAAATAGTATTCACAAAAAATCTGTAGTCTTCTCAATTCTGAGACCTTTTGCCTTTTGTCCTTAGAATTTCTCTTTTTTTCTTCACACGAATGGATAACAATATTTATCTAGGACGGATTCAGCAAGACGATCACCCTTAAACAATCTCTTATATTGAGAAATTTTTCCCCATAAAAGGTTCTTATGATGCCCTTTTGGTGTTTCCAGGCATCGTGGCGTAGTTCCACGCCTAGATAAGTATTCCTTCCACACCTGTGACACTTTTTCGCATGATCGTATCCTCCAGGGTGATACTGCGGTTGGGCATGCTTCAGTGCGCCCTGAGTGGCAATACCAATGGAACTCTTTAGGTTGAAATATCAATGGTGGGAAATCCCATCTATGTGTGTGTCGTCCTCTCAAAAGGTCCGCAAACACTGTAACCCCCTCTCCCCTCCCCCTCACACAGTTGCATGCGCCTGCGAACTCTCTGTGAAAGATGATGGAATTAAGCTTCTTTCCCCTAAGTACTACTCCGTGGCCTGTAGATTTTGCTGATTAGAGCTCCTTCCGCAGGAATTCTGTGAGAACGTCACAGCAGCGGCATGCATTCTAATCAATCTTGTTAGTAAAATTAGAACGCGGCAGAACATGATAGTACACACTAGGAGTATCAAGAATATAACAACAAATGAAATGGATCTAAACTGTGTGTCAGAGGAAAGAGACTTATAATACAAGCTGGATTGAGGAAAGGGGCTTTAAAATTTGTAGATAATCCTTCATGGTGTAGTTCGCTTTGGTTTACTTCTTTATTATTGCCGATTCAAATCACTGAATGCGTCTTTTAAAAAGTAGTTCGTTGTATTTGAGGTGTGAAGCGTGCAGTATTGATTATTGGGCTTGCTGTATTATGCTCGTTGTTGGTTTATTTTCCGTTTTCTTATCCCTCACTCTCAAATATCTTCTAGTTCTTCTGTCTGTACCTTGATTATATATTATTTATTTGACAAGGACGACACATCAAAAGGGAAGCCAACTTTTCGTAAGCGTTAATTCCCTATTTTGTTTCTTAGTTTTTTTTTTGTATATACATATATATATATATACCAAATTTATTTTTTAGTAACGTTTTTATTTTCTTCCTCGATTGGAGGGTGTTTAGTGCATTTTTTCATTTGACGCACATCAAGGCCACACCAAAAAGGTAAGAAATAGCATTCCTTTAACTACAACTTCTCTGATTTTAAATCCACTATTCCTTATTGATCGCACGCACAGAAAGGTAATTCCTTGATCTTGAGAAAATTAAACCTTTCGTTCTCTTTGGAGACTGCAGCGATAGGGGGGAATTCCTTTTCCCAGGTGGAGAAACGTTATTCTCCTTTGACTTTTTTCTTCCTTTTGGTCGCTAGATCTACTTTTGGGTATCATTTAGCATAACATACAAAAAACACTCAGATATCTATACATATCCACAAAAACACGTGAAAATCGTAGGTATTCATTATTGAATTTCTTCAGACTTCTCCTTTCATACCATACGTGCACCCCCTTGTTACTATCACTTTTTTTTCCAACTGAAAGGGTCCATAGGGAAGGTGTGGCAGGGTGTCATCTATCTTTGACTACACATATACGGGTCCACCGAAAGAAACGCAGTGTAGGGTAATCGAATTGTGGGAGATAAATTCCCAGACTTGTTTACCTAGAGATATAGCTGTAGTTTGTTCTTTATATATATTTATCACATTAGATTAGCATTTTAGGAACGCCTTTTTGGCTTTGTAGCTCTTCATTTTCATATTCGTTTTTTATTTAGCTGGGCCGTAAAAGCAAGGGACTGAAAAAGCCAAGACCAACGAAGTATTAGTGCTTGTATATTCATAAATAAAGATTTTATAAATTTATCAGGGATACATTAATAGCATTAGATTGTAAATCTCATTTATTTAATATATAATTGCATAGGGACATACAAATATTAATAGGGAGAAAGCCCAGTTTTTTATCTTAAAAGACATTCTTCCCTCATTTTCACCGTTTATTTTACTAAGCAAAAACACAGATTCTGATAACGGTATTACATAGGCCACCAAAAGGTGAGCATTTTTTTTTTAATCAGGGGAAAATAAACTCACACGGCGAAAAGTATAATAACCGATTAGGCTACTTACACGCCCAAAATATTTTGTACATTCTGCATAACACATATATATACACTATTCTATCTTTCACAGATAAAATTTTTACACGCACCTACATATACTTCTCTGATTTTTACTAGTCAGGCTTTATAGTGTTCAAGCGACCGCAGGCAGCTACCCAGAAAGTAAAGCATGATGTCGATGTTTAGTACGTCACCTCATGTTTCGGGAGCGGCGGTGTCATCCTTCACTGGCGGCGCCCGTTTGGAGTCCTCAAAGCCCTGTGAGGGATCACCGGACCAACAGGCGGGGCTTTTCCAAACGAATCCTAACTCCATTCCCATTTCCTCCAAAGGGGGTCGTAATACGCCCTTTTGGGGAGTCTCGGCGCAGCCCACAGCGGATGGCGGCAACTTTGACAAACGGTCGCTAGCTTCCCATCGTATTGAAGAGCGCCTTTTTCATTACAATTTGACACCGACTCGGGATGACCGGGCCAACGACCTCGCGAGGCAGGACCCTCTCCATGACTTTAAGATTCTCAGCAACGAGGAGCGGCAGCAGGTCGTCGACAAAGAAGGGGAGGACGCGGATCTACTTGCACGGACCATCCACCTCCGCTTTCTACCGACCATGATGAAGCAAGGTGAATTGGCGGATCTCTGCCGCGAGTGCGGGGAGTACCTCCGAGTGCGTATTTGCGGCAATGCCATGAGCAACCAAAATTGGATCTACGGCTTCGTCGAGTTCGCAACCCGCAACGGGGCGAATCGGATGATGAAGATGAGTGGGATGGAGCTGTCGAATGGTCCAGAGCGCCCCCCATTGCGGCTAAAGTGCAGTGCGGCAAAGCAACGTATCGTAGACCGCGTTTTCCATGACGCCAATTCGGAGACCGGTACGCTGTGTACATTTGGACTGGGAAGTTTCGCTTCCCGTTCGCTTAAGGACGCCTTGGAAAGCTACTTCAACTTAAAGACGAAGGAGGCCCAACAGCAGAAGAGCAAGCAGCCTCCTCTCGAGACCTGGCGCATCAATAGCAGCACGGGTACATCACTCAGCCCGAATGCCCTATCGTTTTCACCGTCCTTCGGAACCGCGGTCCATTCCTTCGCGGTGACCACTTCCACGAGGTTAGGAGATTCCAGCAGGGCCCTTTTTGCATCTGTATTCCCTAGCATTAATCAGCCTTCCGTTACCGATTCCGACTGCAGCGACTCCCCGGCGGGGGTCACTCCAAGGTTTTGTATCCCTCCTCCTCTCTCCCCTATCATTTTTAGCGAGTTCCCCAGCGGGGCAGGCGCCACGGCCTCTAACTACAGTCGCCTGCAGGAGACCCTGAATTTTGTCTTTCGCACGACGCCAGACTACTCGAACTTCTCGTCGTTTTCGCGGCCCGTCGGGGTCGCCGTCGCGCCGTCAACCAC